CTATCAATCATCTATATATTTATCAGCTGTCTATCATCTATCTATCTATCTATCTATCTATCTATCTATCTATCCATTCTCCATGTATCTACCCTATCACACAACCATCTTTACTAAAGAGATCTTTAGTGTCTTTGCTTGGAAATACCAAATTTACTTGAATTGGACACTTGATTCCACAGCCTAAAAACCAATGTATTTTCATACTTCTGCCTGTGGTGGAGGCTGGGCACACAGGCAGCCAGCCTCTCATCTTCTTTTGCACTTGGGTGAGGTATGCCTGTGTTGAGAAAGAGATGCAGACATGTACACACCATTGTGGGACTGTCTCAGAAAGCCTTCCTCGTCTTGCTCTCCTCCATTCAGGATGTGATGTCCAGGGTGAGTTTAGGAAGTGCTGGGTGCAGGCAGGCCCCTGAATGAATCCACAACTTAAATGGCAGAGCAGTATGGATTGTATGAAGTTCTGGGAGTTTATTGGCAACAGTAGAGTTATATATTTTGTATGCTATTTAGCCACTGTGGAAAGCCCCTTGTCTTAGCTCTGGATACATCATAGCCACATGGTCAATCTTGCTTTCCTGATTCTCTCCTTCCAGCACAGCTTGGGGAGTGCAGAAAGCAGACAGACTTTGTGTCCAGAGGCGGCAAAGACTGAGAAAACACAGGCTAATGTAACAGAGTTGCTGGGCGAGGCATGACCAGCAAGCTGGTAGGTTTTGAGTCAGGAGCCGGCAACATCCTGGGTGAGGCAGAGGTAGCCCACCCATCTTTCCCAGCAAACTTCTGGGTCACAGGCACAGCCTGCCTCAGATGGCTGTTTGGGTAGCTAGCAAAGATCAAAGGCAAACATTACTTCTGCTATCTGGGATAAAGGCAGCCTTGGACTAGAGTGGGTTCTGGCTCTGACACCAAATTCCAGTCTTACATAAGACAGGATGCTCAGAGGACCACGTGCCCCATGGGAGTGGACACTCAACCCTCCAGCTGTTCATGTCTTTCTCGAGTATATGTCTTGGCCTTTCAGGATGGAAACCCCAGCATTCTAGTCTGTCTTCTGAGTGTGTGGTACCTCTCCTCATTTCCTGAATGGCTCAATCTGTCATGGCTGAGGCCCTGTAGATCTCTCGTCCTCAGAGTGACAGGAACTCAGGGACTGAAGGAGCTCTTTCATGGATGAAGAAGAAAACAAGGCCCGAGGCCATTGAAAGCTCCACCTCTGCCTACGACTGTCTAGTCAGACTTGGTATCTCAGGACTTGTATCTCCCCCTGCCTTTTCTGACCCTATGCTTAGTGGAGATGCCATTACAATGTGGCCTCTATCCACGGCACTCTCCTGGGGAGCATCTGTTGGTCCGTCCTACCCAACTTATGAATGAGGTCCAGCTGGGAGCTGTGGTTCCTGCATCAGCCTTCCTGCCACAGCTGGGGTGTCCTTGGACTCCTATGACTCCCATGAGGAGCAGCAGGAAGAGGATGTTTACACAGAGTGCAGTGAGTAAACAGTCAACACCATCCAAGCACCTGCCTGAGCATCTTCCGCATTTGCTGGGCTGATTTAGTCCCTGCTGCAGTTCCCGGATGTGGCCTGAACGCCCAGGATTGTGCAGGCCAGAGAGGCACCAGCCATTAGCCCTCTGAGGAAGTGGAGGCCTCGGGACTGAGTGTGTGCATGTGTGCAAACCTGTGCATATGTGAGTGTATGTGATTGTATGCCCTATCTATCTGTCTGTTTGTCTGTCTGTCTATCTATCTATCTATCTATCTATCTATCTATCTATCTATCTATCTATCTATGTGTATATCTATTTTTATGTGCAGCTCTATGCACATCTGTAGTGGGTGGTATGTGCACATGTACGCACATTCTGTGTACTGTGTGTACCTGGGTATGTGAGTGTATTTGGCATAGTTCATATGTGTGTATGTGAGTTTATGAATGTCACATATGGTTATACATGTAATCTTCATACAAGCATGCAAAATGCTTGATCTTTTGTTTGCATGTGTACCTGTATGTGTGGGTGTGTGTGTGTATTTCTGTACTGGTTTAAGCTGGACTCTGCCTGTTCCACTTGGCCTAGAGTAGGGAATCGTGACCCTCCTCATAGCCTGCCGTCTAGTCTAACTTCCTGTCAGGTTGGGACTTGAGAAGAGGAGGGGGACAAGGCTCTAGAGATGAGGTCAGGTGTTTAAGAGAGATGGATAGAGGTACCCTGGTCCCCATCTCCCAAGAGGCCCCCTACTAGTGAAACAGATCAGATGATAGGTTTGAGATGGATGGCTGGGGGTACCTGCAGTATCTTGGGTATCTGTCCCCAAGTTCTGTAAGGCTATAGGAGAACTGCTCTTCAGGCTCCTAGAAGGGTGCTTCTGTTAGTATTCAGGCATCTGTACTGGCCTGGCCTTGGGGTTCTGACAGGATTTACCCTCAGCTGCAGCCACTAAGAGCACCACCTGTGCACATTCACTATGTTTCCTTTTAAAAGGGCCCTGCCCACCTCCCATCTCCCCCCCCCCCGTCTCTCTCTCTCTGCCTGTCTCTGTCTCTAGTTCTATCCCTACACCCCTCTGTTCTCTCCTGTTGCTCCTGTCCCCAGAGGCCAGTCTCCCCTCTCCCCTCCCTCTTTCTCATTCATTTCCCCCCCATTAAAAATCCCTCCATAAACTATGCCTTTCTCTCTCATGCTTTTTAAAAAATCACAACAGTTCCCAGGCCTCATGCAGGTGGGCACCTGACCATAGCGCTACCCTGGGCAGAGCTGCCTTGTGCTGGGCAATTACTGGCTTTCCTGTTCACCTTAGCTGCTTCATTTGCTCATCAACAACCCCCAGCATGCCAAGGCCACTACAACACACGTGTGTTGATCCGGCTTGCCTCGTATGTCCTGGGTTTGACCTCCCGCACTCAACAAAAACAAAAACGAAAGAAAAAAGAAAAAAAATGCTCCGCATTGCAGAGCTGACAGAGTCAGTCAGAGTCCTTGCTTCATACAAGTTGGCTGTCCAGTCACTTTTGAATTGCAGAATTTTCTGTTTAGTGTTCTCTCTCTCTCTCTTTCTCTCTCTCCCTCTCTCTCTCTCTCTCTCTCTCTCTCTCCTTCTTCCTTTCCTTTTCCAAGTGCAGGAACTGAGTTAAATGACTCAGGCAATGAAACCATCATCCATCACGGTGTGGTGTCCAGGCCTGGGTTCCGTTATCTCCACAAAGCCCACTGTGAGAACTAACTTCTACTCTGCAGGGCTGTATGCCTGAATCCCATGGGTCTCCTAGGTGACACAGAGATGTGTATTCAGGAGGGCTGACTCCAGCCCCTCATCAGACGCTGGCAGCTGATGATTCCTGACGGGTGAAGCTAGTAACCCTGACCTCTCAGATCAGCTCCCAGGGTTATCCAGAGCTGTATATCCTTATGTTATCCAGAGTTGTATGTCCTTATCCATACAGTGTTTTATTAATGTTCTTGACCACTGGACCACCCAGCAACTTCCTGAGCATCACCTAGAAGATGACAGCCCATGGAAAATTCTAGAAGTCAGATGGGCTGCAGCTGAGGCTCTATGGACACAGAACTGCTAAGGGACCTATGATAGTAAATGAATACCCCTGAGAAGGGTTGTTTCAGGTGCTCTGAGTTCTACTTCACAAGAGCAAGCTGGGTGCAGAACCACCAGAGAACCCTAACTCCACTCTGGTCAGATGCTGTTCCACAGAACGCTCCCTTAATGAGGGGTAATGACATTAATTACTGCTCCCATCACTTAGGAGCATGCTCGAGAGGTGCTAATTGCCACATAATGGCCCAGGAGTGACCGAGGTCATGGCAGCACTGCAGAGGATAGCATCCCCTCTTTTCTTCTACCCTTCCACTGTACCCCCGTGGCCTTGCTTCCTTTCCTCACAAGAGGCTTCTGTGTCTCTTGGGAGAGCACAGGCTGGGCCTTAAGCGTGATTTCAGGCAAACCCACCAAGTTTGAGGACTGCAGCTGCTCTGTGGAATACGGACTCCCCCAGAGCCTGAGTGACAGGACTCTCCTTCATGCCCCTGACTCTTGCAAAAGGGACAACAAGGAATCCAAAGACTGCACCAGTGACTGGGCCCAGAAATTTCCCTTCTAGGAAATTACCTGGGCCACCTGTGCTTTTGGGTGTGCACAGAGCATGCCCAAGGCTCGAGGGTCTGCTTCTTTGTACTGCTCACCACACATAGATGCAGGCTGGGACATGTGTAGCTGGCTGGAGAGCTAGTCTTCCTATGAGCCATGGGCCATGCTGTTGGGTCCTAGAGAACTTGGATATCTATCTGGCCTGCTCTGTTAGTGGGAGACATGGTTACTCTGTGCTGTACTCCAAGCTGTTAGATAAGGTGTCCTTGGCATTGAAATGCAATCATCCCATCTCAGCTTTCTTTCCTTGCTGTAACTAAGCCCTCAGCACTAGTGTGTTTCCCACTATAGCCTGCTATGTTCTTACATACTCTACATACTCATCTATCCTCAAATATTTCTGTTTGTCTCTTTACATTTCCTCATTTGGGTTTATTTTATTTTCACTTGCCCTATCTTTATTTTTTAAAAGATTTATTATTTTTAGTTATGTGTAGGTATATATACATGAATGCAGACACCCTTGTAGGCCAGAGAAGGTATTGGATTCCCTGGAGTTGGGGTTCCCTGGAGTTGGGCTTACAGACACTTGTGAGCTTTGTGATGTGGGTGATGGGAACCTAATCCAGGGCTTCTGCAAGCGTAACACACATTCTTAACCGTATCTTTATTCCTTACCCTATCTTTGTGTTGTGTTTTTTTTTTTTTTTTTTTTTTTTAATTTTGTCAAGTCTTTGAGTTACAGTGGTCAGGTGGCTTCTAGGGGCCAGCCATCTCAGTGCAGTGGTCCAAATATCAGAGGGGGCCACCACACTTCCTGAGCCTTATCTACATGTGACAGACTCCACAGTGAAGATCTTGCCTAGCTCCAACAATCAAATTACCGAGTCAGTTCAAGGACAACAGCTTTATTTCATTATGTGATATTCATTACTACAGCAAATAATTAATGTATTAAAATATGTGCAATAAAATATACAATGTATATGGGTTAATAAACAGCTAGTGTACTGACAATACAATTATGGTACTCTCACCACAGGAGAGACCTCCTTAGCCATAACTAAGTTATAGTCTTGGTGCTAATAGTGACAAGAGTTGGGGAGAGGGTGGAGTATGTAGAAAGCAAACTTAAATTACAGACAGACTTTGCATGAGTTAAGGGACAGTGGCAAGATGTAGAATTGGCTGTAAAGGACACCTCACTTGGTATCCAGCCTCCTAAAGGATGACTGAACAAGCATTCAGTGTCTGGGATGGTTGCTTGCATCTTAGCTTCTCCTTGGGCTTCCCCAGGTGGGCAAGGGTGAGCCTCTCCCCGATGACCTGGGGCCATCGCCATCTCAAAGATGCTCAGGGTGGCTCCTGAGGGAGAAATTACTTCTTCTTTTTCCCCTTTTTCCCTTTCTTTTTTCCTTTATCCTTCTCCTTTTCTTTGACGCCACCAACAGACAGGGACATGATTCGTTTTTTCCCGAGAGGGGTTTTTGCATACCAGTTCTGAAATGAGAAGATGTTTAGGGAAGGATCAGACAACATGAATATACTGAGATAATCCTGGTGGTGAAGATGAATCTGCTAAGAAGGGGGACACTGAGTGGCTGTTAGACACTGGGCATTTGAGGTGTGTTTAGTACAAATGTCTCAGTGCATTTCTAGCTTGGATTCTGTGACTTGAAACTTGTCCTCAGGTAGTTAGTAGTTCTAGAGAACCACATACCAATTTCTACACACAGTCCTGCTAATTAAGACTGCCCTGAGGATGTAGCTTTCCTGGTAATGTGCCCAATACCTCACGTGTGGTCAGCCATTAGCAGCTCCATTGGTAGACATGTATGACCGCAGGAGGCAGCTCAACATCCTCCAAGGGAGATGTGGAAAACATGGCACTATAATATTGTATTCAAAACCTGGGAAACGTTTCAATTTATAACCTTACAGATAATCTCAGGAAATTATTATATTGCATGCTTCTTATCAGTATTCTTACAATTCAGTTAAAAAAAAGATTTCTCCTTCCCTCCTTTGCACTTCTCTCTCTTTCTTATGTATGTGTGTGTGTGTGTGTGTGTGTGTATGTATGTATGTATGTATGTATGTATGTATGTATGTCCGCATGTGTGCAGGTACCTGGGTAAGCCAGAAGAGGGCATCAGATTCCCTGGAGCTGGAATAATAGCAGTTGTACATCACCTAACATGGATGCTGGGAACTACACTATGGTCTTCTGGAAGATCAACAAGTACTTTCCTGAGTGCTATCTCTCTAGTTATAGCTCACAATTTTACTGCCCCTTGTACATATGTTAGAGGATTTCTCTAGGAAGAGTATACAGAAAGTGAATTCCTTCTGGTTACATGACATGGATTATCTAGCTGTTGCTCTTGATGAGTGGGAGATTATTTCAGTCATTTGTCTCAAAATGTCTTTGCTTTCTCCTGTCACTTGGATGCTAGTTTAGCTGGGTATAAATATTAGCTAGATGATCATTTTTTTTTTTCCTTAACACTCTGAAGGCATAAGTTACTGTTTCCTGGCATCTCTTGCTGCCAAGGAAATGTTTGATTGCCCATGTTGTTCCTTTGGGACAATCTGATAGCTTTTAAGCCTACTTTGTTATCTTGTTCTTAGACTTCTAATAATGGGCAAAAGTGGATTTGCTCCTATTTGTCTAGTTGGCTGCCTAGAATTTATTTTTAATCTGATACCTTATGCTATTAATCTGGGAAAGTTCTCTGCAAGTATTATTTAAGACTTATTTTGTGTTCTTTTCTTCTGAGAAGTCTGTTAGTTGAAGGCCAGTTCCTTTCAACTTGTAGATTTAAAATTTACTTTTATAGATGTTATCTGTTTTGTTTTTCTGTGATGCCTTTTTAGGGGAACTCCCCAGGACCACTTCCTAGTTCTGTGATTTGCTCTTCAACCTTATCTACAAAAGAGTTTACACTTCTCTTAGTTTTTGAGAAAGTGTGTCACTGTGAGAGTGGGCTTTGAGGTCTTTTTTGCTCAAGCTTTGCTCAGTGTGACATTCCACTGACTTCCTGTTGCCTGCAAGCTACTTCTCCAGCACCATGTCTGCCTGCATGCCACCATGTCATACCATGCTGATAATGGATTAAAGCTCTGAAAATGTAAGCCACCCCAATTAAGTGTTTTTCTTTGTAAGAGCTGCTGTGGACATTGTGTCTCTTCACAACAGTAGAAACCCTAACTAAGACATTTACCACACCTCTTTATAGCTATGGCTTTTTCCTCATAAAATAGAAGGCTTTGAGGTCTAAATGATTATATCATCCATAGCATTACACGTTTCCTCCAGCACATCCAAGGAACGGGACAAAATGTTCTTGAGGAGCTATGAGCTCAGCAGATACAGTCTCAGAAACACAGTCTGGGAAAATTTATGGTCCTGATTATGTACCATGTTAGCAGTGGTCATCACAGTATCCAGGGGTCATAAACAAATCTATTGAACATCTACTTGGGGCTAAGCACTGTGCCTGTTACTACACTAACAATTTGGAAATAGGCTAATGGTGGAGAAATGATTTAATTTCTTTAGAAATGAACAGAATGACTAACTCCACCAAGAATGGAGGCAAGAGGCATATGCATTTGTGCCCAAAGTCATGGTCAGTCCTCAAACACTCATTGCAGCCAAAACTCCTAGAGTTCAATTTGCAAAGTTAATAAATACAAGCTTTAAGTTTTAACATGCTAAACCACATCCCTCAAAATAAGGAGGGAAGTCAGTGTTTTAGAAAAGGGTAAAAAAGGCAGACTTTCAGAAAAGATTATGGCACTGGGAGGTGATGGGTATTTGTTAACTAACATAGTCAATGCATCATAATGTTAAATTAAACAGTTAACAGGATAGAATAAAAAAATGTAAGTGATCAACAATGGCTACAGCTGAAGTTGTTCTTCTTTTTCAGTTTTGCTGGGGTCCACAAAACAGCAATGGACCAAACCCAGCCTGTTGTCTGTCTTGCAAAGAGTTTTATTGGGACACAGCCACTGTCATTTGTTTACTCTGTGCAAGATGTTCTTGTGTTATGATTCACAGGTACCCAGGTAGCAAGGCTATCAAAGCCCCAACTTCTCTCTGGGTCTTTCCTTCCCCTTCCTTCCTTGCTTCCTTGCTTCCTTGCTTCCTTGCTTCCTTCCTTCCTTCCTTCCTTCCTTCCTTCCTTCTTTCCTCCCTCTCTCTCTCCTTGCCTCCCTCCCTTACTTCCTTTTTTTTTTTTTTTTGAGACAGGATTCTTTGGGTAGCCTTGGCTGTCTTGGAACTCACTTTCTCACTTTGTAGACCAGGCTGGCCTCAAACACTCAAACTCAGAGATTCACCCGCCTTTGCTTCCTGAGTGCTGGGGTTTAAGGTGTGTGCCACCACTGAGCAGCACTCTCTCTGGATCTTTAGAGGAAGTGCTCACCACCCTCCAGTTGGGACACTACTTCTGGGATATTATTTTTACAGTTTCTCACTTCTAACTGAAGCACTTGCGGACAAAGTAGGAAGGAAAAATCAGTTTTAGGCTTGGTGGGAAAGTAATGCATTCTAGAGGGGAAATTTGATCAGGCTCTTGGAGGTGAGAATCTTGAACGAAACTCCTTTTGGTGATAGTGTGGCACCGTGGTGACCTTCTTTGGGACAGGTAATGAAGGGCCTAGACCCTCATTCAGTCCCCTGCTTTGGCAGCCATGACAGGCTGCAGAAAAGACCCAGGAAGATGTAGGCTCCTGACTCAGCAGGATGTGCTGAGCCTGCAGACTGGGAAGAAACTGCCAGATACCCTCCATGTAGTAAGGAACCAATCAGAAGTTAGTTGGTGGGGGAGAGGGAGACAGGGAGGGAGGGAAGGAGAGAGGGGAGAGGGAGGGAAGGAAGGAGGGAGAGAGGTTGATTTGTTTGTGGCAGGCAGGGTCTTGTGCATTCCAGGCATATGCTGTGCCACTGAGTTCCATCCCCACATTCCCAGCCTTTGAATCCTGGAAGTTGGCTGTTTAAAACTCTGTAAGGCCACAGATGACAGGTTTTTTTGAGATCCAGAAGATAGGCGCTCTCCCTTCCCAGTGCAAATAAAATTCACAAGACCAACTGCTCGAGGAGCAACAGATTTTGTGATCTCAGAATGGTGAATTTCAAATTTCCCTGTACGTGGTAGGACTTGAATCTATGGAACCCAGGAAGCTGGCGGGGAAGAGGATGTCCTGTGATCAGTGCTTGCCCAGGATTTGGTGAGCAGGGTGTTCTGTTACCTTAAAGCTCTCTTCTTCCTCTTTGTACACCGGGTTCATGGTGGTCATGATGGTGATGAATTCCACGGCGGTGAGCGGCTTGTGAGACTGTTGCCGGATCCTGCGGTCGGTGAGCACCTCCTTGACCACTTTGACGATCTGGCCTTGTGTGAAGCCATCAGTGACTTTAGACAGGCAGCTGATGTTCAAGGCATTGGTGAGCACACCTCCGTTTCGGAGAATGATTTGTTTCCACAGAACTGTCAACATCCAAGACAGTGGGAAAAGACAGAGAACAGAATTACAGCAGAGTCAGCAACCACAGCCAGTCTCATCAGGAGAGGAATCCTGGGAGAAACCCACCCCAGTTGGTCTGCAATTCAAATGAGCAGGCAGGTGAATGGGCTAGATGCATTTCCTCTGGAGACTTTTCCAGCACCGAAGTGCCTCAGGTCTGTCCCTCATAAACCCACAAAGAGAACGTTCACTCATGTGGTTTTAATGTGACACCTGTAAAGATGTCTAAAAACTTCCAAGATGGAAAATTCACCTAGGGTGTGTGTGGTGACACTGCTCATCAGTGTTCTGTTTTCCCAGGAGTGTGGATAACTAGGAGAAGCATGGGTTTCTCTGTTTAATTATAATGTTAATTTCTTATATTATCATTGTAGCTGGAATAGGAACATAGATTCCCATTTTTATTAGCTGGTGCCTGGGTGCACAGAGCACATGGCAGTACCACACACTGGATCAGATAGAGCAAGTATATTTCCTGCTCCCACACCCACCCCCCAGTCAACACTCTGGCTGACTGTAGCCCGTCAGATGGGTGTCGGTAGAGGGACCCTTCTATTGGAGCACAAGGATCCTGCAAAAATGAGTCATAAAAATGCTCCTGGGAGCTTAACTTTAGGACAGTTTAGTGCCTTGTATGATCTTCACAATAGCTGTCCAGCAAGCTATGTCCCCGCTGCTCAGGGAGTTGTCCCTGAGGCCTGCTGTTTCCAAACCGGGCCAGGTGAAGAGTTCTGTGACCATCTTTCTCTTCATTAATAATGTCTAGTGAGACCTCAGAGCATTTTAACTTCCTCAAGGAACACCAAACCTACATTTTAAAAATGATCCTTCTGAGAGAGATCTGATAATTGGGTCCAGTGGCCAAGGGTCCCTTCTGGGTCTATTCAATGACTCCATAAATCCACTCACCCAAAGTAGCCAAGATGTAAAGCTCTGCTTTCTACAATGAGGGATAAAATGGCAGAGGGAAGACCCAAGGCTATGTTAGGGAGCACTACTGCCCAGATAAGAATTACCCAGTGTTCACCCCTGGGTTGTGTATATGGCCCTTGAATGAGCCAAATTTCAGCAGTGTTAGGAAAGATGTTTTGGGAGGCTTGTGGGAAGCAGCCAGGGAGTTCCTATTGGCTCAGAACAACAGTCAACTTCTTGGAATTTTGCTATGTCTTTGGTGGGTTTACTGGGGTTGGGACCCCAGTAAGTGCTAGTGGGAGAAGTAGGACAATGTATCTGACATGCCTGGACACCCCAACACTTGACAGGGATTTCTCTGTACCTGGATTACTGCTGTTATTCAAATTAGTAACATTGCCTTCTAGTTTCTTAACCACACCCACAGTCGTCAACTATGAAAAATGAACTACAGAATATTTGTGTGCTGTGCATGTACTTGTGTGTGCAGAGACACAGCATAGCAGGCCTGGAGACTCTGCATCCAAATACAAACACCACAGAATCCAAAAATATAATCTGCAGACAGCAGCCTCAACTAGACAACCGTGTCACTTACAAACAGTCCTGGCTTCTGCCCAAACATGTTCAGCCTACAGAAAAGACCAGTGGTTTCCTGTGGTGACTGGCAGGTGAGGAGGGGAGGGTCATAACTAGCCGGAGCCCCCGCAGAAACCAAGATGGGATCTCGGATGGCTTCAGTCTTTGCGTGCATAGGACTGCTACCTGTGGCATGAGGTGGAACTGTCTGTGGGTAGGCAGTGAGAGCCTGGGCACCCCAGACTCAGAGCCTCCGTCCTGTTTCTGCCACATGTCAGGTATGAGTAGCTACAGCCTTGAATGTTCCTGGCCCAGACCATCCAACTGCTTACTATGATGGATCTCCATCTCCACCAGTGAGGATTTACCAGTCATGGAATGCACAGAGTTTGGTGTTGCCAGGAATATACAGAAAAAAATCAGACTTACACACACACATACACACACACACACACACACACACACACACACACACGCGCGCGCGCGCGCTACATGAGAACAGAAGGAAGACTATCTGGGGTGAAGAAAGGGACCAGAAGGTGGAGGGGGAGGTTGGTGGGGGTTCCATTTTAGCATGCGACAATGACACAACATGACATTGTTTAAATGAAACTCACTATTTTGTTTGGCAACTAAAAATCATTTTTAAAAATGCTAGAATTTATGTAGCACTGTTCTGAGAATTTCTCAAAGTGCACACATTGCTTGATGGTCTGAGGATCATCACCCTGAGGCGCGGCACAGTGTGAGAGCAGTGAGGGGACTTGTCCACCTGGCCACTGTCACCTCAGGGCCCAGGGCAGATGAGAGCAGACACATGATTTCCACCTTGTGGTTGATGAGCTTGACCTATCAACATTTAAAAGAAGGTGTCTGATGGGTGTTGGTGGTACATGCCTTTAATTCCATCATTTGGGTGGGGCAGAGGCAGGCAGATCTCTGGGAGTTCAAGGCCAGCCAGAGCTGTCTCAGAGAAGGGAAAGGAGGAAGAGGGGAAGAGGGGAAGGAGGAGGAGGAAGAGAAGGAGAAGAAGAAGTAGAAGAAGGAGGAGGAGAAGAAATAATAATCTGTGGTGTTTGGTGCTCCTGGAGCCACTGTCCTCAGAAGCTGTGGGACCTGGCATAGAAAGTTCCAGCTGAGACAGGAGCTCCACAGTGGGCCCCAGACTGGCAGGAAGCTGATGTAACCTAGAGTGCGGATGGGGAGGGCTAATGTGGGTGTGGTGAGGGTCCTGTCAGGACTTAAGAGCATCCATGACTGCAAGGGGCCTTTTGGTGGGCACTGTGTGTGTGTGTGTGTACATGTTCTCACATGTAGAAGCCAGAGGATGATGCCTGATATCTTCCTCAGTTCCTCTCCAGCTCATTTCATGAGACAGCATCTCTGGTTGAACCCAGAGTTCACTGATTTGACTGAGCTGGCCGGTGGGCCGATGGAGGTAGGGAGCCCCCGTCCCTGCCTCCTCGGAGCTGGGATGACAGGTGTGCACCACCATGCCCATTCTGTAAAGTGGGAGCTGGGGGTTCAAGCTCAGGTCCTCATCCAGGTCAGCAAGCACAGCACTGCCTGGGGCATCACTCCAGGTCCATCATGGGCTTCCTCTGTTAGGCGGGAAGGCCCCTCACTGCAGACCAATCCACACCCCCCTTTGTCTGTGGAGAAGGGGAAGACTCTGGGCTCTGCCATCTGCTTTCGATGCCTCCAACTGGCCAGACCCTGGCATGACACAGTATCTTAACGTTCATTTTATCTTGAGCTTCATGGGTGAAAGAGTTAAGTGATATGATTTGGGTGAGTGTCTGACCCCCTGTGGCCTTAAGTTCCAAACAAATGTGAAGACATCTCCTCTGTATTCATCCCATCTGGGTGGGGCCTGTGATGAATTGTGTAATTAGCCAGGCGGACCCTGGGGTAGAGCAGCTCGAGTGAAGCATTAGGGAGGTCCAGGGGGCTCCTGAGGACCACAGGAGGCATTCATCAACCTGGGGGCGGTTTGTGCAGCAGCTTGATTTGGGGCCAGGAGCGAGGCAGACACTGAGTTATGTTTGGTAAGCCTTACTCTGAGCCCCTCTCCCCAGCTGTCTGCTGATCTCTCTGTGCCCATGCCACACCCTGTGGCATTTCCCAGTGTGTGTGTGTGTGTGTGTGTGTGTGTGTGTGTGTGTGTGTAAACCACTGGAGCTCTTGCTGCTGATAGATGAATGGGGGAGTAGTGGCCCCAGCCATGGATTTGCAGCCTCCACCTGCAGGGCTGGAGGAAACCACTTTGATCACCTCCGAGGCAGGAGTGGTCCTTCTTTAAGACAGATGTTCTGTGGCACTGATAGTGAAAGCCTCAAGGTCCCAAGAGAAACACTGACAGTATTTATAACGACGGTAAAAATGGTGGCTGGACAAATCACTCCCGGGAAGAAATGTATGAGAAGCCGGCCCGTGGTGGACAGGCCCTGGGCTTAGGAGAGGTACTTTCTGTCCCAGAGGAAGGGCTGCCTTCTCCATCAAGATGATGAAGCCAGGAAACATTCAGGAGAGAATCTGAGGAATGACTGGGTTCTTGGAGATGCCTGGCATTTTGTCACAGACTGCAATGGCCTGCCTCTTCTCTCTGCTCCTCACAGCACAGCCTCTTCATTTCCTCATCTCCCATCGCCTCTGCCTGGCTCCTTGATGCTCCATATTTTCCTTTACTGGCATTCCACCGGTGACACCACACTAACTGGTGACACACCACACCCACCCATCTTCCCTCTGTTCTGGTCTGGCTGGCTATGAAGAACACTGTGGCCCTATGTGATAAACAAGCCCTAGGTGGGTAGAGATGTAATGGGTTCCAGAGTCTTCCTTGCTATGTGTGAGACACAGATTTTTTTTTTTTCTTCCGAGATTGGGTTTCTCTGTATTGTTTTGGAGCCTGTCCTAGAACTAGCTCTGTAGACCAGGCTGGCCTCGAACTCACAGAGATCAGTCTGCCTCTGCCTGCTGAGTGCTGGGATTAAAGGTGTGAGCCACCAATGCATAACTGAGACATGTGTTTCATGAAGCCAGGCCACACTCTTTGCCGATAGAGTGACTAACAACCTAGCTCCCAAAATGCCCAGGTTCCCCTAAGCCAGTGGTTCTCAACCTGTGGGTCACGGCCCCTTTGGGGTGGGGTGGGGTCAAATGACCTTTACACGGGGTTGCCTAAGACTATCAGAAACCACACATATATGTTATGATTCATAACAGTGGCAATGTTACAGTTGTGAAGTAGCAATGAAAATAATTTTATGGGTGGGGGTGACCACAGCATGAGGAGCTGCATTAAAGGGCTGCAGCATGAGGAAGGTTGAGAGCCACTGCCCTGAGCCCACCCACAGCCCTCTAGCTCTACTCGCCTGCAAGCAAACCCCAGTGCCAGGCCTCGGTGCTGCCTGGAAGGCCTTAGGATACTTGCCGTATCTGGAAGCGTAGTCAGGTCGGGGAACCAAAATAATCTTTTGGTATACCCTGCAGAAGGACTGCAGTTCAGCGTCGAAAGGGCGCTGTGTGGTCCCCACAATCAGGATCCTATCATCTGGCTTCAGGAGCTTCAGGAGTTTGGGCAGGTGCTTTTTCAGGCGTTTGGGTTCATTCTGGGAGGAGAAGAGAGGGGAAAGGTTAGGCCACATGGAGGGAGAAAAGAGCCGAGAGTAGAGAAGACGAAGTGGACTTGTGGTGACATGCGCTCGGCGTGGTGACTTTGAGGTTCTGATTGTGGCTTCTCTAAAAGTGTCCCTGGATGAGCCCTGGGAGGTGCCTCCTGCTTGGCTGACTTTTTACTGTGATGTTTTCCTACATATGGCCTCTGGTGTTCAGACTCAGAATCAAGAAGGATGGAAAGAAAGAAAGAAAAGAAGGAAGAAAGAAAGGAAGCACCTGATGGAAGACCCAGGACCCTGACCCTCAAGGGGCCGCCCAGAGGGCTCATTTCCTAGTGGAAGGAACCCACTCTGTTCCGAGCGGTCTTTGCTTTCCTTTGCTGTCCAAGGCACCACAAAGACTGGGGGGGCATGGCTCTCATATCACCAAGGGGTCTGAAACTGAAGCAGCTTGAAGGCAGCCGGGGGCCGAAGCAGCTCAGGGTCACATCTGCACTAAGAGGGAGATGCTGGAGTGTGGATGAGTTCACTCTGGACCCCAGGAGAAGCAGAGCTGGCCCTGTTGCCATGGACAATGCCTGCCTCAGAGTTAAGCCTGACTGTACAGCTAGACAAGAGGAAGCATGGGAAGAGGGCTTGGACAGAGGTGCCTCAGCCCAACCTTGGTCATGGTGGCTCCCATTGGCTGGTGACTAATGACAGTCGGCATCTTTTCATGAACTTAGTGGTCCATTACGTATCTTCTTTGAAAAAAAAAATGTAGATTTTTAGCTTATTAAAATTGGGGGCATGGTCTTTATTATCTTGTCTGGCTCTCTTGAATTTCCACACAAACTTGAGGATTAGCTTTAAATGTGTGCGGCGGAGTCAGCAGCTGTGTTTGTGGGGGTTGCACTGCATCTTGGGGCGATGTCATCTGTGATGGTTGGTTTGTCAACTCAAGCTAGAGTCATATGAGGAGAGGGGACCTCAGTGGGGAAACAGATTGGTCTGAGGCCACATCTGTGACATATCTTCTTAACACCTGACGTGGGCTTGGCTACCCTTGGGCAGGTCACCCGAGTTATACAAGAAAGGCTGAGAAAACAACAGGGACCGTGCCAGGGAGTAGCATCCTCAATGGCCTCTGCTTAGATTCCTGCCCTAGCTTCCCTAGCTTCCCTCAACAGACCTGCAAGACTATATAGTTCCATTGCCAAGTTGGTTTTGGTCAGTGTTTTATCTCAGCTGCAGAAATCCAACTATGACTCCATCGTAGCAACATTAAATCTTTAACTCAAGTATACTAAATGTCTTCCTGTTTAATGAAGTCTTTGGAATTTCTTGATGCTTTTATAGTTTTCAGAGAAGTCTTGTGCTGCTTGTGCGCTACTGTGGAGATGGGACTGTGGCGGGTTGAGAGGTGAGCGGAGATGGTGAGGGTACACTAGTCCTTTAAGAAGCCAAGTAGGGCAAACAAGCCTTTTAGGGGTGGGTAGAATGCGAGGGGGTACATGTGTGAGACACCCAAAGGCTGGTGGAGAAACGACTGATCTGAGGGTTCTAGAAGGCTCCAAACAGGGACACACCTGCATGGCTAAGCCCATCTACCCTTAGTAGCCCGGTTGCTATGGTGATGGCAGTGCCTACTCTCTTCCCTTTCTGAGGCAGGATCTTGTTACTTGCATGCCCTGAAATGGCAGGGAGATCTAAAATTAAGTAGCCTATTTGGATGACAAATGTTGATCCTGGGTGGCATCCATGGTGACACCTTTATACGGAGGAGGTGTGTTCTCCCGAGTCGGGAGTGAGAAAGCAGGGCTGTGTTCATCCAGTTCATCCAGTCCCCAGCTCCCCAGTACAGTTCAATTTCAGAGCTGTTCAGCACAAGACCTGCTCATCAATCATGCGGGAAAACGTCTCCTGATTAGCTGGCCACCTCCACATCCGCCACCCCCCCCACGGCTGGCCTGCCAGTCTCTCACAACTGTATTACTGTGGGCAATTTCAAATTAGTGGCTAGCATCCACACGGCAATTTCAATTTGCTTTTCTGCAGTTAGCGCCACAAAACGAGCATCACAGTCAGCGCCAACCAAGCAAGCAATTCCCCGGTGGAGACCTATTGTGGAGGCAAGGAAGGCTGGGGCTAGATGAAGTAACAAAGGGTAATGGTGCAGAAAATGCAGGAGCAGGCACCCTTGCTTCAATCTTTACCTTCGTCTCTGACACGACTGACCATCTGGTTATAGCAATATCACGGGGCAGGCACCAGCAAGGGTCTGCCAAGGCAGGGCTGGGTTCCTCAAAGCAGTGTGGGTGGGCTCCCCCTCCCCCAGGATTTGATTCTTCTGACATTTCTGAACCTTTGTCAAGGGTTGCTGGGGTGACACAGAGGGTCAGGAATGATCCAATTTCAGAGTTCCTTATTTTTGGCTCCTAAGACAAGAGGTCCCACGAGAGATATGGAAGGCAGGATGGAACAGAGGACTGGCCCTGTAGCAGAAGAGAAAGTCAGCTTCACACCAAAGGTCTTCCAGCCTGTGAGTGGTACCCAGGCACGTTTGAAGGCATGGCCTCCATACTTAGCCTGGTTCTGAATCCCACATTATCCCTTCCCAGTTGTGTTCTCTTGAATCTCTGTTCTCTTTTTGCGAGAGGTGACCAGGTCTCCTCTCAGGGCTGCTGGGAGTCGCCCTGATGTGTTTATTGTGCCTCTTCTATGTGTCATCCCTGTCAGAGCCTATCTTCACACCCCGCAAGTGTGGCATCCTGACGTAGGTTCCACATTCCACTTTCCTCGTGGCTGGCTAGGCCTTCTCCATCACCTCACTGCTCAGAATGGGGCAGGTTTCATGCATTTTACTGTGTGAGGGTCTTAATCTGAGGCAGAGGTACTGGGGGGGGATACATCATCATGGATATGATTTCAAGGGACGTTCCTAGAATCTCCAAGCATGGCAAGAAGCCACTCTGAGCCAACGGCCTTGCTCTTTGTGCTGTGGCTCTGGTCATCCAGAACTGGCCTCCTGGTTTGGGTAGATGTTTTCTTCTCTGGACATTTGTAGTTTGGAGATCCGAGAATCCTTTGGGATAGAGGCTGGGACATGTTGGAGAAATAAAACAAATAAAAAGTCTGGGTCCCATGAGGACGGGAGCTGGTGAGTCCTCTTTTCCACTGTAGCAATCGCTGGTCTGGCCTTTGGCCCTCCCGTTCTGAACATGGGTGTCCACTGCAGTGGGTTCCCAAGACCTTGTGGTTGGGGACGTGGGTAGAATGAGTCCAGGCTCAGACCCAGCATGACAGGAAAGCATTGAGAAATTTGGGGTTCCTGCTCCCTGGGTCAGGCTGGAAGTTGCTGTGCTCAGGTACCTTTGGAGCTTGCCATGCACATATGTTCCCCACATGCTCACTTCCTGCTGGGGTGGCTGGGTCAATCCTGGCCTTGTTCAGGCACCTTACGAATGTTCTTACTCAAATTCAATGGAATATTTTATGTGGTGGGTTGAATGATAATGGCTCCGACAAGCTCATATATCTGAATAATTAATCCCCAGTTGGTAGAACTGTTTGGGAAGATTAGGGGGTGTGTCAATGGTTTCAAAAGACTCCTGCTATGCCCAGTGTACACTCCGTCTCCGGCTATGCTCAGATCAAAATGGAAGTTCCCAGCTGTTCCTGCATCCATGCCTTCACTAGGCCAGCATGGACCCTAAACCTCTGAAACCATAAGTCAAATTAAGTGCTTTCTTTTATACGATGCGTTGGCTGTGTTGCTTTATCACAGCAATAGAAAAGTAACTAATATATTCTGGGACTTGTGCAGGATGTGATCTGTGGTCAGAGTAGGGGATTTCCCCCTACAGTCAAGGATCTTCTGACTGATGTGAACAGAGAAAAAAAGTTCAACTTTTCCACAGCGAGCCTGTGCTTCCCCAAACTCCATCTCCTACAGAGCAGACTCAGCCACGGATGGTGTTTGTGGGGTCGGGGAGACAAGAGTGGGAGGGTGGATGTGGGGTCTGGAGGGGTGGTCTGTCTGTACCAGCAACTTCTCCATTCCTGCCAGCGCCCTGCTTTGCACACTGCTCCCCACGCGGGGTGTCTCATCTTGCCGCTTGCCGCCAGCATCCCATAAAGCAACCCTAGCCCTCCCCACCGACCTTTGAATCTCTCATCAACAGGTCCCATCCTTCAGATTCTCTGTGGACTTAGCTTGCTGTAGTTTCTGATAGCCAACCGGTAGAGCTTAGGGCTCATGGGAGAGGAAGCCAGAGAAAGTTCCTCAAGTCAGAGGCTCTTCTGGCTGATATTTAAATAAGCAGAGACTAACAGAGGTTAAGTTACGTGATGAACGACACACAGCCAGCTAAGATGAGGGGCAGAACCAGCCTCCTGAGTTTCATATCACTCAGGCTGAAGTCCTGTGGGAGAGGGAATCGCCATGTCCGTTAGCAATCCACAATATGATTGCATCATATATGTGACCCCTGGCTGAGCAAAGCCCTGCATTCCCTTTTAGACCCACGATGACTTTAGAGGGACGATCACCAGGTGATTTCTGTCATCAGTTTCTCAGATCCGGACTTTTTTCTTCCTCAATGTCTCGACATGGTCAGCAGGGGGAGCTAGCCACCAGGTTCCCAGATGAAATATAACAAATGAGTCTTCCTAAGAGGTTTTGAAATGACAGGGCAATCAGGGCTCATTTGGAGAAGCAAAGATGAAGCTTTCGGGCTTTACCCAAATCACCTCTACCTGCTGAAAATGATGTATAATACATAAGTGATTAAAGTCTTTGCGGATTTAATCAGAAATTCACAGCTAACCACTATTTGCTTTGCTACAAATTGGTGTGGGATAACAAGCCTGTGTATCTGTTATTTTTTTTTTTTAACTTGTGGGAAATTTGCTGGTGATTTGTGGGGGGAAGTGTGGGGGAGGGGGGCCATTGAAAAGAGAGAAAAGGAGGAAGGAAGCAATTGAGACTGAGCTCCCCAGAGGCCCTGAATTCAGGGCACTTAGCTTTGCTGTTGATGGCCTTTGTTCACGAATTTCAGGCCCTTTGCTATTTGTTATTATGAACAATAGGAAATCGTAATAATAACTCCATGTGTGCCCTTGGCTGTAACTGAGCAGAGTTCTCTGAATTGTTTCTTTGCTCTGAATCATGTTTGGGCTGAAAAACCTCCCTCCTTCCTTCTTTTCCATTTTCTTCCAAATTATGCCTCATAAAAATCAAGGCACTGGCTTCTTTCAAATACTGACAAGCACTTAGGGCAGAGAGATCCTACTGTGGAAGGATTTAGAGCCCTGGCGTCTCCTTTACTGCTGCTTTGAAAAGCTAAGACTTCCTTGAAAAGTAGAGATGTTCCCTTGTGAGGGGATCCCCATAGAGGAAGGAAAAAAAAGTTAGAAATGAAAAGGAAGCGAGCCACCAGGAGGACTCACCAGCTTCTCAGCCTGCGGGACTTTTTTGTAGAAGGTTTTCTCCGTGTCTTGGATCCACACCACGGAAGGCTGAAGCTGGCGAGCCACCTGCAGGGGACAAGAGCCAGCCTAGACGTGAATGCATTCGGGAATGTTTGCTGTCTTTCCCTGTGGCATCCCTGGTACACCCCACGGAAGGCAGGCCCCCAAGTCACCAGGAAGCGTGTCTGTCCCCCAACCCCCTTGCAGCTATCATCCGTGTACTTTGCACCTCAGCTCCGGGCTGGGAGGTGAGGCCATGGGGTGGTTCTACCTCCACAGGCCTGTCTTAATGGACACATTCCTGTATCAGTGCCCAGAGCCCCTGCCTAGCTTGGTTTGTCATAAACCACTGGTTTTCAGCTGAAAGTGAATGGGGACTGGGCCACGTGTTTTAATCACAGCCTATGCACAGTTCCCTGATTCATTCAAGTTTGCTTGCTACGAGAAAACAGTTTCATCCCAGGCTCCTGCGATGCTATTTGTTCATCTCTGTTCACCTGTGCCTTTGTGACTGAGGCTCCCCCGCAGGATGGTGGCACTGAGCCTTTCTGGAGTGAGCGGGGGCTTCGTGGCAGAGTTAGGACTGGACTTAACCAAGGCTTGTGAATAATTGCCACACACCTAACAATTTCTTCAAAGCGCTCACCTAGTAGCTGAGTTCAAGGATTTTTTTTTTTTTTTTGCAACAATTTGAGCTTTGTGTGAAATTGTGGTGGACAAAGGCAATAGCAGCTATGGCACACAGACAGAGTTAGGAACTCTTATTTATGCATTTCTTGAGACATTGTTGAGGCACTAGGGGCTTCATGGCAGAGTCTGTCTCCCTGGGACTATCCCCCAAATGGGAAAGTAGATTCTGGCCCTTCAAAGACAAAGTAGCTGTTGACTGAACTTAATCCAGCACCTGTGGCAGATGCAGCATGTCCCTGAACACACTAGGACACTCAGCAAACTGTAGGATTCAGCACACTTGGGGAGGTAGTAGGCTTTTAGATTGTGTACCATAGAGTTCAGAATTCAAGACATTTTTAAATCCCAGTCCTCGGGTGGTGTGGAGTGTAACTAAGGGCAGTCCAGCAGTGAGCAGTGGACCTGCTTTGTACCAGATGCGGGACACAGACACTGCACATGTCAGAGTCAGCAGGCATGCGACTCAGCCATCACCCGCTGGGCCCTGCCTCTTTCCTCAGGGCCTTTCCTGCATTCGATACCCTCAACTCAATCCACAAAGCGTGTCCCATTACCAACACCCTATTTATACACAGGGACACTGAGTGTCAGAGATGACCTGAATTACACAGCTGCAAAATGGCAGGACAGGCCCAGAGGCCAGCAGAAAGCACAGTCTACTCCTGTGTTTCTCTAGTCTGTTCTATACCTAGGACGTGAGGCAGCTCCAAAGTCCCTGCCTCAGAGGTGAGAAGCAAGGGTCCAGGAGATGGGTGCATGGTGAATAAAAACCAAACACTCTCTGCTGATTCCATAAACCTAGTACTCTTTCTTCATAGACACTACTTCTATTGAGTCCTACCCCGAACCACGGTGGCTTATGAATTTGGGGCAACGGAAGTGGTTACTTTCCACCTTGTTTCCTGTAGTTTATTTTTGGCACAAGAATCTGAATAGTTGTTTTCTCTTTTCTAGAGTCTGATTACTTGACAAAAAGAGAATAAAAAAAAAATTCAGTCACGGGGAGGGGTAGATGGCCCAGTCAATAAGATGATTGCTGTGTAAGCATGAGGATCTGAGTTTGAATCCCCAGAACACAGGTTAAAAGCAACCATAGTGATGTATGTCTGCAAGCTCAGTGCGGGGAGTGAGAGACAGAAGGATCCCTGGGGCTTGCTGGCCAAAACAGCCGGATCCAGCTTCAGTGAGAGAGACCTCTTCTCAAAAATAAGGTGTTCAGTGATCGAAGAAGATGATCAGTATTGACCTCTGGCACACACGCACGCATGCATGCACGCACGCACACACGCATGCACGCACGCACGCACACACACACACACACACACACACACACACACACACACACACACACCCCTTTCTGTCTGTGCTAGTAACTGACTAAACAGTTTGCATATGTGTCTGGTCTGGCTCGTCTCACACAGCCCCCTTCTCTCCAAACCCCAAGCCCATTTCATTGCCAGTGTTCCCTGGACCCGCCACGGCTACCTCCTCCAGCTCTGGTGAAGCTTTGCAGGCTGCTAGGGAAGGTGAGGCTGCCTGGCAGTGGGCTGAAAACTCTCAAACCAATTATCTGAGGAGTGACCAGCCCCAACCAGGCCATCTGCCCGGCAGCTGTCACCCTGGCCGTGAATACATGCCACAAGATAAAGGGACACCATCTCTGCTTCTCTCATCCTCATCTATAGTCTTTTATTTGATAAAATCAGTGCCCAGAGATGTCAAAGCAACTTATCTCATGGCTCTCCAGCTTCAGCATTCTTCGCGTCTCAAGGGAAGGTCATGCACGCACTGCAGACGGAGGGGCTGCAGCCAGCGATCCCACTCCAGTCCGGCAGCGCGGGGTCCGTCACGTTTAGGCACCAAGATCAGTGCTGAGGTGGTAAGGACTCAGTGAGAGAGGCACAGAACCGTGCAGGATGGGGGGCTCCCCCTGAACAATGCTAGCCCCGCCGCGGAGCCAGGAGAAGGGACAGTCAGAGGGTGACAATATCAGGGGGTGTCGGCTGCGACTTGTGCTCAACATTTTACTTATGGGCTGGTCAGTGGAAGGTTCGTGATGGGGCAAAGAGGAGCCAGAGTCAGACTCAGCCTCCTCTCCCTACAGCACAGTAGCTTTCCTTGGGATGATACTGGAAGCTCCCAACCAGGGGTTCTCAACCTGTGGGGTTGTGTGACCCCTTTGGGGGTTGAATGACCCTTTCACGGGGTGGCCTAAGGCCATCAGAAAGCACAGATATTTACATCCCAATTAATAACAGAGGCAAAATTCAGCTACGAAGTAGTAATTTTATGGTGGGGATTCACCACAACATAAGGAACTGTATTAAAGGGTTACAGCATTAAGAACCACTAATCTAGACCTTGATGTTCTGGCTGAGAAAGGATACTTGTGTGGCTGGGTACCACTGGCACCAGGGCTTTTAAATTTTAAACATTCTAGGTGGTTTTGTGAGGCCATTTTCATGCTCATATATAATGCACTATGAGCTGGTGCCCCTAACTCCTCTCTACCCTCCTCATTCCCTCGTTTTTCCTATGACTCCCACCCATGACTCCCTTTCTCCAAATTTCCTGACTATGTCTATCGGGTCTCTAAACACTGGTGTCCTCTCTCTTCTTTCCCCTACCAGAAGGGTCACATGAAATAGAGTCACCTTGCTCTTGGGAGCATGAGTGTCTAATTTTCCTGCCCTTTCTGAGGGGAAGCTGAGTGGAGGGTGGCCACAGGACTTCTGGTACCTGTGCGCTGCTGGCCAGGAAAGAGAGGCCTTGATAACTGAACAGTGAGCAGAGTTTAGAGAAACTCAGGTCCCCTTCCATGGAGAATTAAGACATAGGGCTGAGGGACTCTGAGCAGTGGGGTCAGCTTTCCCAACTTTCACCTGAATGTAAAATGAAGATAACTTTCTCTGTCTTCCTTTAGAGACTCAGGGCGGAGGAGCTCCGAGGAACTGTGTGGAGTGACTGGGTCATAATTCATAAAAATCAATAACATAGGGACCCATCTCAAGGGGCTAGGACCTCAAAGAGCCAGGAAAGCAGGAGATGGCACATGTGAATCTGCAGGTGGTTCAAGACCAGCAAAGACCAGGGGACTCAGAGGGAGCGTGGCAGGGGCAACTGGGGTGAAGGCTGCAGACACTAAAGCAGACAGAGCTCCAAGGTTTCCAGATGTCCATACACTGGTGGAGAAAGCACCTGCCAAGCTCTGTGGGTGGTAGCTAGGCTCTTGGGCCCTGGGCATGATGCGAGGCACAAGAGCTTTTTAGGGCAATCCCAGAAGGGGTCAGAGGCTGGAAGCCATGTGATGGAATTTGCTTACATCTTAGAAGCCATGGATAAACTTGGAAGCCATGGAAGCATGGGGAAACTTCAAGGGTCTGTGTTAAGGTCAGTATGTGAGGTCTGCCGTGGTTGGCACTATTCCAGAAAATGGGCAGCCTTGGCTCTGTGGGCAGTGGGCATTGAGAATGGCGTGGCAGAAGGCGGGAGGGCAGGTGGGACTGGAGCCTGGGTACCTGGGTAGGTTGGAAGGGTCTGGAGGGGCATGTAGAGTTGGCCAAACACACGAGGAGTTAATATGGGGCTGGTGTTTGGAGAAGTAGATGCGAGGTAAACAAGGGAATAGTAAGACTAAAGGGGAGCAGATGAAGGAGGAAATGACGTCAGCTTGAGCCACCATGAGCTTAAAGGTACCTGGCATCAGAAAAGACCAGTGGCCCAGGAGGCAGATATCTAGGAATGCTGTTGGAAGTATCCGCAAGGAGAGGGGAGGAGGGATGGAGAGATTACAGCTGGCATAGAGCCCAGGGACTTCCAGGAAGTCATCCTGGAAGCAGGTGCGAGAAACAGTTGGCTGTTGGCAGTGCTGGTCAGGAAGCTGAGTAGTTAGGATGTTACTGGTGGCCTTGTCAGTGGTGTAGGGGACAAGGCAGGTGACAGGCTGCTGGAGTGTGCATGGACGGGGTCCAGAAGGCCAAGAGGGTCTTTCAGGAAGACGCGCACACGGTGCATTGGGGAAGTGCAGCCATAGCTAGGTAGTATGTGTCCAGGACCAAGTGCAAGAAGACCAGAGATGTCACATGATGAGGTGGACAAGCCGGAGAAGACAATCTTGGAGGGAGACAAGGTAGGAGATGTGGATGGAGTGAAGGAGAAAGGACTACCACAGTGGGACATTGTGTGATGCTGATTGACTAGGAGTTATCCCTTGTAGGTAGACGGATAGAGACGGGTCATTCTAGGCAATAAAGGTGGCGAATCTCCAACACGGCCAGCTTCTTCCTCAACCTGACTTGAGATAGAAAGAAGGTCTTGTGGGCTTCTATCTCTTACTAGCAGGCTCTTTGCTGATGGTTTCACTCAACAACTTCAAG